AAATGATCCTGGGAGAGAACTGAAGAAGTAGGGCAGAGCTAAAATCCAGCAGATATAACTGTTTCAAAGGAGGATAATTAGAACACACAAACTGGTCTACATTTTACCCACCCATCTAAAAGAGTATGGTGAGTAAGTCTGGGCTTTTAATGTCTCATTAACCACCTCAGTAGGGCTAGGATTCAATTCAGTGCTCACCTAGCAAGTAGAAGACCTAGGGTTTGATTTTCACCTCCAGAAAAGTAAAAGCCTAAAGTAAAGATTAGGAATCACCTTTGTAGCCCATAGCCTGAGACTCAAAACTCCAGTAACACAAAGAACTGTTCATCAGGGTAGTGACACAAGGTTCTCACATTTTGCAGCTTCAGCATTGTCACTTGTGAAGGTGACAGTAACAGTCATGTCCAAAGATGATGTGAGAATTGTACAGGAAAGTCTGTGTCATGAAACATCAATAGTAGTGCATGGTAAACACTTAATAAATGTTAGTTATTGTTCTGCAATAAAACTGTTCTTATAAAACCAGTTTATTTATAATCGGTGCCAACTTGACCTTGAAGATTGCAAAAAGGTAAACGAGTCATGAGTTATTACAGATATAAAGGAGTATTCATTATTCACATTGAATAGAATCAATGAAAAGAAAAAATAATAACTATTTCATTGGGTAAATATTGCTGTTACACTGTTCTGTAAGGGAAAATGATAAATTTTAATGGACATCGCCATTTTTATTTATTGAAGTTTACTGGCTGTTAGGCACTTGGGTTTATTGAATATTTTATGCTGTGCTTGTAAAAGTATGTAGTTCATGTGTGCAGGAAGATTTCTATTTCTGTCTACTAGCTTTCCTTGTTCCTAAAAACAGAAATGAAAAATGCCTATTACAAAGAAAAACAGAAAGAAAGAAACAAGAAGTGAGCTGTCCCTGTCAGCTCTTTTTGCTAGAGTTTGAGTGATTTCAAGTTATACATTTACACATTTTGCATTTTCCCACTCTTAGTTTAACAAAATAAATTAAGTCAAAAGCTAAAATTAATTCCTTTCAGAGCATAACATTAATTTATTGCTCAAAGCTAATTAAAAATAAATTTTGATCTATGAAAAATAGGCATATATATTACTTATAATTTAAAATTTGGATTCAGGCCTCCAATTAATAAATACTTCCACATATACTTTTTAAGTTTAAAATCTAAGAGCTTTTCTTTCAGAAGTGAAAATAAAGCTTTGTTCTTCATGAAAATCATTATTGAAGTCTGTGCATTACAAAATACCTGGAAGATAACAGAAAATTTGTTTTGAAAGACTAAATGAATCTAATATAAGAAGGCAGGAAGAAAAAGAGGGGGCGAGGGAGGGAGGGAAGAGGAAAATACCATTTTCGTTTGACCTTTAAACTTTTTGGCACATTTCACAAAGTACATCTGTATTCTAATATTAAAATTATAAATGCAGTTACCATTCTTGAGATTTTCATAGTAAAATCCATGACCTAACTCAGGTGTTCCCGTGTTAAGGAGGCAGTTTTTCTTCTGTGAGTAGCTAACATCTGTGTGTGTGTGTGTCTGTGTGTATGTACATAATAATATATATATATATATATATATATATATATATATATATATAT